GGCGAAAACCTTTGTGGTAAAGGAGCTGAGGCGCTAAGGCTTCTCAGTGACACGTCCCTTTTTCCGGTGACCATGCCTCCACATTTGAAATCCGCCTTCCAGGGAAGCGATGACACTGAACGAGCAGCCGGAGTAGAAGCTTTTGCCACTTTTGCTCGTGGAGTTGCTAAATTCATGCGGAATTCAGCCAACCTTACGCTTCCCAACATGCGGTCTTCTCGCTTTGTATACGCTTAATCACTAAAGGCTAGAGGGGACTTATGACAAGCCTTGCCGACGTTTTCTTCTGTATTTTCTCTTCACTGACGAGTCTGTTGAGAAGTTCCCTTCCAGTCGGCACCCTATCGCGGATCGGACCGCTGAGCGAGTCTTAAAGGCAGCGTCCGCGTTCATTTTATGTTCCTACGCCCTCCTTAGATATCGTCGACAAGGGTGGGGGATGTACTAATTTCGCAGCTCAAAAATACGGTCTACAACTTGAACTCAATCCCTTTGAACGCGTCGATCTCGTCTTTTTCTCTGCACTATCTCGTCCGCATGGCATTCAATGGCTGTTGTGACTTCGCCACCCCCGTTTTTCACCGACTACAAGTAGCTCACCCACTCCACTTTAAAAATCCGTTTCCTGGCTTGCCATACGTTTTTTGCACGTGCACCATGCGCAAAAGTTCAAGATGTCACGTAACCCAAAAATACGAGAGGATGGCGCCACCCGCTTGTGAAGAGGATGCCGCCCCGCCCACCTGGCTGCCATAACTGCTTTGGCTTAGCCTTTAAAGGCTGAGCCCGCTTTCAAGAATAATGAGTTATGGAGCTCATATAATACGTGATCCAGTAGTGAAAAAAGCAGAAAAAATCATGGAAAATGCCCTATATAGAACCCTATGCTGGCCAGGTGGGCGGGGCGGCCGACTCTTCACTAGCGAACGGCGCTATCCTCTCGCCTTTTTGAGATGCAAAACTAGTACATACTGCATCCTCATAGGGAGGGCTATGATATCCAGAGAGGGCGCGGGAACATCAAATGAACGTGGCGCTGCCTTTAAAAGTCAAAGAAACTTTTCCCGTATGTATGATAACTTTTATCATGCACTCATCGAACAAAGAGACTCTGAACAGAAATTTCCTCCGGAATTTTCATCACAGTTTCCCATTCGCATTCACAAACTATCAGTAGTTCAGGCTCAATTCGCTCGACGATGTGCGCAGACCTGCTGCATCCTCACCACTGCACCGATGATGCATGTTGGTAGGCTTTTACCTTGTTTCTTTTCATACTTAAAACTCACTATGAGAACCTTTTGCACTGATCCCAAAATCAATAGATACGTTAGCTAAATAAATATGTCTAAATATGTCCGAGGATCCGAGGATACAGTTAAGTTGGACCCAGATAACTGAATTTTGTGATTCTTGAAAAGATGTGCTCAAAATCACTGCAGTATGCAGCCTCGCCTGCCTTCCATGCGAGGCTGAAACATATCCTCTCTTCTGAATGTTGAACAAGGTGCAATGAAGCCGGTGTTCTAAATGGCGTAGCGCGTTGGCATTGGGGTGAGGCGCTAAGCAAAGAGTAAAGACCTCAAAGCAAAGAAGATTCATCTTGCCGCCGCGAAAGTGGCTTCATTTTTGCACGTTGCCGCAGCTCGTATCTCCTAACCAAAAAAAAGGGACGAATTGTAGATCCGTAAGTGGAAATATCTGCCTGTGCAAAAAATTTTCAAACAGGCTAGAGTTCTCAACAGTTCGAACAGTTATTGTTTTTTCAGGTGTGCTCGATGTCTCCACGATTCCACCAGGGTACTACTACTATGGCGCATCAGCTGGACGAGAATGGTTCATCGATCCCTCGAATAAGTTCAAAGACACAAGTATCCCAGAAAAACATCTACAGATGCTTGATCAGGTGAGCTTCTTTCGAAGCTCAGGGGCAGCAGGTGGTCGGGGTGGGGATGTCTGACGACGCACAGATTCGCTTTTCTTTCAGGCCATCTGTTGAGGGATGAACTACACATTCTGGAATATCAGTATCAGATACTGGAGTAAATTGGGGAATAGCCAAAAACAGATTTGCGTTCCTTTAGGTTATCCCTTGAGAGATAAACTTCGTTCCCTGAGACCCGGCAGGCATGGCTGCGTGCTTTTGAGTAGCCACGCCTACCCCATCTCAGGAATGGGGGTGAATGACGTTCCGCTGACGTCGTGTAGTACGTTGACGATTTGTCATGACACGTCATTTACAATGATACGGAATAGTTTTCCTCGTCACCAACATTTTATGACACTTGGATCTCCTAACAGCGTGTAGCGGCCCTTTGCTACACCTGCTCCCGTACGGGCCAGTCGCCTTGGGGTTCTTCCTCGAACCTTTGCTCGCACCATGCAAACGAATCTTACTTGTAAGACGTTGCCTAGCATTATAATTACGGTTCTTTTGGGAGAAATGATTTACAGAATCGAAATCTCGGCAAAGGAAACTATGACGCTAAGCATTCGATTTTTCCCCTCATCATAATTTTGAATCCAGGTGTTCCAACTTATTCAACAACTGTTGGAGCGTCAAGAATTCCGG